CTTTTGACTGTGGAGATTATTTTTCTTTTTATTTAAATTTTAAGTTTTTAGTATGGTTGTACGTATTTATAAATAATTGTTGTATGCTTAATTGCATACTTGTGACTATACTTTAATTTTTTTTTTAATTTTTAAAATTGTTATTTATTTTAAAATTTTATCTAATAGTTAACCAAAATATAATAGAAGTATTGAAATAAAATATATATTTTTATTTAATTCTTTTTATATACTTCTATTCACAAATTTATTTAAATCAATGATATATCATTTATTTCTGTTATATTTTTATCAATTATTTAATGAAATCTTGATGAAAGAATTTAATTTAAAAAATTAAAAGTTTAGATATTTAAATGAGTTATTAAAACTAAGAGAACAAAAAATTACTCATTAATTAAAACATGAGCATTAAAAGAGATATTAGGATAAAAACATGTGTTTTAATGTTTAAAATATGAATACATAGTATAGCTAATAATAAAAATGAATGGAACGAAGGGTGTATATATATATTGGGTACATACTATAAATATAGTCATATTAATTATGGATTATTATTGATTTAATAAAGATTCTAAAACAGTAAATTTGCCTGTGCTAATGTTATCAAGTGATTGGTATAGGTAAATCAGTTGTTCCTCCCAAAAAGTCGGTTGCTCCTCCAAGAAAATCGATTGCTCTTCTCAAAAATTCGGTTGCTCCTCCCAAAAAGTCAGTTGCTCCTCCAAGAAAATCAGTTGCTCTTCCCAAAAATTCGGTTGCTCCTCCCAATCCTAAAGTTAATTCCATGACATGAACAACGCATGTGTTAACTTATACAAATGTTATGAATAAAACGAATACATGCATACACAAATAATAACACACATCTATTTAACATTTATATTTTGTGTAGTTAAAAGTTAATATTAAATAAATCTCATATTTATTTTAATTTTTATTTTTTAAATATCAAAGGTAATAACATATCTTATAAAAAAATTGGCACAATCCGTAAATAGCCTATCAATTGCTTGTCTGGTACTGAACAATCATCCACGTTGAAACAGTGTTTATTGAACGGTCAACAAAATTCATACGAATGAAATCATTTATACTAGAACTCTTAATTAATACTTAATTACTACATGAAATCATAATTATTTGATAATTTTTAAAAAATGTTTACATGCTATTTACACATTAATTCATTGCTATTTATGTTTATTGCTATATTGATAAAAAAAAAAAAAAAACATTGTTATATTTTTATAATAATAGAATATTTCAAATAAAAATTTCAAATAATTTATTTATATCGTTGTTATTATTATTATACAATATTATTCTTACAATTTAGAAATTATAAAAATTAAAACTATGATAAAGAGAAGGAATGAAAATTTATATACCATAACATAAATTATCTGTTTCATGTTGATTTTTAACTGTTAAATTATGGTATGATATTTAATCTAATTATACAACGAATAATATTTTTTATTATAATAATATATAATAAAAATATTTTTTTATAACTAGTTTTGCACGTATTGACACGAGACTGAACAGCGCAGATCATGATACCATTTCTTTCTAAGTTCACATTCTGTTTGAAATTTAGTTTGATACCTTATCGACCAGTTTGACAAAAACGTGCAATGCCAAAATTAGAGTCTCTTTTCACTGTTTGTTTGTTGCAATACGAAAATGCTAACTGAAATCCTATTCAGCCAAACTGTTGAATATTGGATATGCTGTAAAAAGATTAGATTTGTAAGTACTTTCTTTTTGTAAAAATATTTAAGAACATATCTATCACATTCAAAATTCTTGTTGTGCGTTGAACCAGATTGAAAGGGAAAGAAAATGTATATACAATGTTGGTTAAATGTTTGAGAGTAACAATGGAAGAGCATTGAATACAATAATTAAAGAACAATAATGTTGTGTAAGTGTTTCAGAATAACAATGCAAGAGCATTGAATACAATATTTAAAGAACAATAAAGCTGTTTGTTGAATATAAACAAAAAAGACAAAAGAAATAAATAAATAGAAGACACAGAACACAATTTCATAATAAATAACATAATAAAATAAAAATATTATTATTAACGTTGCATATAATAATTTTTGTCTAACATTATAAAATTTAATATAATAATAGTATAAAATGTTATAGTTTTTTATAAAAATTTATCATATATTTATTTTTTTATTTTGAACAATATTGCACATATTAAAAAATATTAATATAATTACAAAAAGTTTTTTTAAATAATTTTAAAAGAATTAAAATAAAACAAATTAAATAATACTGTTATTAGAAAGTCTCGACGTTACCACTACATTGTCCTTAATTACAAAGTTATATATAATATTTTTTTATAAAAATTATAATGTTTAATATTATTAATATATTAAATTAAATTTTATAATTTTTAATAAAAAATTATATATACCCTATATCATACTATACAAATTAGAAAATTTATTATTTTTTATATAAGACGATTGATATGGTTACAAAAGAGAGAGAAAAATATTTAAAAAAAAAAATTAAAAGAGAATAATAATAAACATTTTTAATATGCATTTTGTCTTTAATTTTTTATTTTTTAATAAATATTTTGAAGAATAGTTAACAAGACCAATCATTTGACATGCTTGTGGAATTTGTATAATCTTATGTGATTGTCACTAACATTTCGGCATACGCCATTTACTATTATTAACATGTTCTTTAATTGTAGTTTTCTAGGTATCTAAAAATTTTGTTGTAAAAAATCATGATTTTGTAAAGGTGGTTGACAAAGTCAAACATTGTTGTCTACAAGAGATTGACAAAGAAAAAGTTGATGTAACTTTATAACACACAGAAAGCTGAGGTAACTTTGCTAACATAAATAGAGAACTTTATTTTTTGTGAAAACGGGTAGCTGAGTAACATATCAGGAATCTATCATGTCTCCAAAGTTAATTTCATATGTGAAATGCTGCATTGACCACATAGAGATGATAAGGTTATCTGGTATTATTGTTTATGTGATTAAAAGGTTAATATTAACTAACAAAAATAATTTTGTAATAATAAAAAATACATTATGAAAAGTGAAAAAATATATTTTTGTGTAATATTTCTTTTAAATATATATAACATTTTAATAAAAGATTGTAATTATTTACCTAGTTTTATTATTAATAAAAAAAAAATAGTAGTGTATTTATGATGGCTATTTGAAAATAGTTTTAAAATTTTAAATATCAATAAAAATAATACTTCATAGTAAATAAAAATAAGATAATTAAATAAAAATAATAATTAATAAATTATTTTAAAATATAATTATATTATTTTTTAACATTTATTATTAATATTTTTTATAAATTTTAATTTTATTATGAATTTCAAATGTGTAATTACTGCTATTATGATTATTATTTTTTTAATCTTCTCTTGATCGGTGTAATCCAATAAAATAAGCGGGTAAATTAACACATCTTTAATTACTATATGAAATCATAATTATTTGAGAATTTTTTTAAAGATGTTTACATGTTACTTATATCTTATTCCACTGATATTTCTGTTTACTGCTATATTTATAAAAAAAAAAATATTTTAAATTATTTATTTACATTATTATTATTACGATTTAGAAATCATACACATTAAAACTATGATAACATGAAAGAATGACAATTTATATATTGTAAAGTAAGTTATTTAATTGTTAAATTATATTATGATATTTAATCTAATCATACAAAAATAACTTTTTTTTATTATAATAATATATAATAATAATAAAAAATTATATATATATATATATAGCATGAAAATCACGGATAAACTAGTTAGTTAAGCTCGTAGAGTGTCATGATACTCTTTCACCGGCAAAATGCTCTCTTCAATTCAAGAGATTAGTTTCATATCTTACCTGCCAGGTTGACAAAAGACAGGCAATGCCAGAATTATATTTCATGTCATACCCCCAATTCTTGCAGCGCTGACTGGAACCTGTTCATGCTGAAACCAATTTATTTAAATATGAAAATTATTAAAACAGTTTTTTTTAATGTGTAATATTCGTTGATAAAAAGTAGTATATAATACTTATTGTTTAAAATTATAAATTTTATTATATTTCATAAATATAAAAAGTGGAAAACTATTGTTGTTTTTATTTAATACTTACAAAAAAAAATATAAAAACTAATTATCAAATTCACTGTGTGATTACGTAGACACACAAAGTCTTTGCAAGTGTATTTTATAAATATACATGAAAGAGTGTTTTTGTTGGAAGAACACGTGTTGATCAACTGCGCGATGGAATTGCTTTTTCGACCGATGCTTTCTCCTCTCGTGTGGATGCTCCTTAGTTGCGCTTTCGGGACGGGTGGAATCATCCACGTGGTGGGAACCAAATCGCATACACTGTAGTTGTTGATCAAAATGGCAAAGGAAAATTCCCAACTGTTCAAGCTGCCATTGATTCCATAGAGAAAAGCAACAACAAATGGGTTAAAGTTCATATAAATTTTTAATACACTTTTGTACTTTTAATATAATATTTTTTAATAAAAATTACTGTAATTTTTAATATACCTTTTGCGTTTAGTTTTATATTATTTAAGAAAGATTTCGACCAATAATTAACCAGCCGAGTTTAATTTTGCATTCTTTAAAAAAGATTTTGATCAATAATTAACCAGCCGAATCATTTGACCCGTGCGTGCAAAGGGTAGAATTCGTATAATCTTATTGGATCACGACCTATCGAGCAAGCACCAGCAACAGTCATCTACTGTGACAAATCAGAGTTCTATAAGTGTAGTTTTATAAGTTTTCAAGACACTTTATTTTACGTAACAGGCGTCATTATTTTAAAGAATATTACATTCAAAGTGAAGTCGACTTCATTTATGGAGGTGCCCAATTTAGGATGTTTGAACAAGTATTATGGCCACTAGACAATATTTTTTACTTCATCTTAGCTATTTTGAAAGTAGGATAATTGAGATTCCATATTTAATAGGCTATTTATAACATAAGAGAGCTGAAAAGGATACGACTTACAAGAGCCTAAAAGATCACAAAATAACCATAGTAGCAAATATGATGTCAGACTAAGAACAATAAGTAAACTCCTATTTACTCTCTGCTCTGTATGACAGGAGTTCTTTGTTAAGACTCAAGAAAAACATATTTTAATCCCCAAAAAGATAGAGCCGTGAGAGTAAGCTGGAATCCATCTTCAACCAGATTGTTTTGCACTTTCACGTACCTGTAATGGAAAGCACTGAATTTGTAACTGATTTCAAGGGGACAAACAATAAAATATCAAAATTTCTAACTATAATAACTTTGTAAATGATAATAAGAAGTTATATATAATAAGTTTTATTAAAAATTACAGAAATCAATGAAATTTAATACATTGATATAATTAAATGCTACAATTTTCAATAAAAAATATTATTTATAACTTTTTATCCTATGTAATGTTATACAAATTTTAAAAAATCAATAAAATATATCACAGTGCTCTTTGCAGGCCTTTCGAAACAGATACTTCAGCAATCCTTTTTGTTAAATAAAATTCAATTAGGTTCAATTACGAGGGTTGGATGGAACAAAGTAGAAGGGATTTAGCCGTTCAAGAGTAAACAAACATACCAAATCATTTATAAGAGTTCAGGCAGAAAAATAGCAGCTGTGTTTAACATTTTTCTTTTGTCAGTCCTCAGTTTTGATTCCTGAAACCTGGGTTGTATTTAAGAAATTCACCTGTTTTAAGATGAACAGCATGCATACACCAATATGATACATAAATAAATGCTCTGAGCCATCCAGATTTTACCAAATGAAAGAAGTTCAAGTTGTATCATGGTTGCTCTTGGTAATTATTTAGCAGTTAGATATACAACCTTGTATGATTTGTGCAAGCAGAAATTATAACAATGAGAATGGAGTTGATGTAGAGTATATTTGGATTCCCTTTAACAATGAGAATTGAGAATGGAGTTGTATAATAGGTTTTATGATTGCTTAAAATACGACTGAATGGAATGCAACACAATGGAATGCACTGTTCCATTCCGTCCAATTCCCAATTTGGGAGTTTAGGATGAAACCAGTTTTTATTTTCCTATTCCATCATAAAAATATCCAAATAAAGGAATTATAACTTGATTCCAGTCTATGTACCCATTAGATATCCAAACATAGCCTTAGGTCTTCTTCTACCCTTTTTACCGAATAATAAATCTTATATTTGATTGGTTATTCTCATTAGACCTTCTATTAGTCTTCTAGTATGACTAAACCATCTTCACAAAACTTCACACCATGAGTTCCAAGATATGTTATAGGAATTTCAGAATCCACACAAAACTTGGTTCAATCTCCTGCAACGTGGAAATATCAAACTCTTATAACAAGACCTTAGTTGGAACAATTATCGTAGTTTGTTGAGCTTTCTTATTGCCAAATAATTCCAAATTCTTGCTTTTCAAGTAATCTTGACCTTTAAAAAGAAACATTTACAATCCCATAATGCAACATGACAATCAATCAATATGTCAATGCTCTGCATTTATCACAAGTGCTTAAAGAACATAGAGCATCCGGGTATGTATTCTCAGCTTGTACTGTTAGCTGTTGTGTGTATAGCTAGCAAAGCAAGCTTGTGTACTTGTATCAATATTGGTGTAACCATCATATTCACAACGAATGAAAATCATTTTCAGAAAAAAAAATAATTCATTGCTCTCAGTTTTCTTTCATTCTCTCTCTACCTCTGAACTCTAATATGGTAATAAGAGCTTGTTTCAAATGCAGAGCCATGTCTTCCAATTTCTAGTGTCAATTCTGGCATAAGCCCTAATCAATTTTTTTTCACACAATTTTAAAGAAGTTAGGCATGTCACTTGCACAGGGAGGAAGAACGTCTATGTTACCCAACCCAAACTCTCACCTTGTAGCCGTTGTGATCCTGTCCATTTTCCAAGTACACAAAACACTACCAGGAATCATGCGTTTTAACTCGTATGAGTTTACGATTTTAGATAAGGAAATCATGTCAAATCAGATATAAACTTGTTTTTAAGTAAAGTTGGGTAAACTTAAGTGAACTCAGGATAAATTGAGGTAAACTAGTGAGTTTACACCCGATTTCACGAGTTTAATAAAACAAAGAGAAAATCATATCATTTTTTATCATGTCCTATCTACCGAATTTGCCCTAAAGTGTAATGATGCTGGTTTCAAATCAAAGTAATGCTGATTCCCTCTCTAGCAGAAACTGAATCTTATATTTTGATTGACTTTCTCATTAGAGCTTCCATTAGTCTTCTCCTTAAAACACCAAAACATCTTCACTGTCAGTGCTAAGAAATGTGTTAGGAAGTCAACAACCAACATAAAACTTATAAGATCAAACCCTTATAAGACCAATTATTGTACTTCACTGAGCTTTCTAAACACCAAATAGTTCACAATTCTTGCTTTTAAAGAAATATTGACAAAAAAAGAAACATCTTTGCCGATTTTCTGCATTATTATTAGGGCTAAAAGAAACAGTCAAAGGTCTATTACATACCCTATCAATAGCAATCAAATCCAGGAGATCAGCCAAATAAGTAAGCCATGACATTAGTAGGTATGGCAAAGAAGGAAGGTGTATCCATGTTTAACTCAAAACTCTGCACTCTAGTGAAAGGAGAAGAACGGCCATCCAGCAGAGCAGGAAACATAGACAGCACCTACAAAAAATCAAAGAAAGACAAGAATTCATGTCCAATAAAACTGAAGTAGCAATCATTAATTGAAATCAAAGAACTATGCTTACTTCAATGATAGCAGGGGACAAGGACACAAACTTTGCACTCCCCATGGCTTCAAACAAGTCAATCAACTGATAACACAAATCAGCGTCTGTAGTCAAACACTCCAGGACAATATCCACTTTCTCCACAAAGGAAAGGTCCACCATAGGGGAAAAATCATAAAGATCAGAGTCACTGTAGCTAAAAGATCGAAGCTTTGGCGTGAAAAGCTCAATGACACAATCTGAATCAAACACTTCATCCACCCTCATATTAGATATACTCAATTCAGTGAGCTGCGGAGCAGAGATTATTAACACTTCAATGTCACCATAATATTGACAGCCATGCATAAACAAACACTTCAAATTAGCACAACCCCTAAAAGGATCAAGAAACTCTTCCACACATTCAAACCGACAATCAAAAAGGTACAACTCTTCAAGGGAAACAAAGTCAAGAGTTGTGATCTCAGTAGCTATATCTTCAAGCTTGAGCGTGGTGAGAGATTGACAAAGAGAAAGTTGAGGTAACTTTTCTATACCACATTCCGCGACCATGCTGATAAACTTTATGTTTGTGGAGACGGGTGTCTGGGTAACATAGTCAATAATGGAATCTACCATGTTCCCATCATTGAGTTCGGCCTGGCACGCAAAGCTGAGCCCCTGTACTTTGGCGGAAGCGTCTCTGTGAGCCAAGAACTGCTGGACAAAACATTGAAAAAGAGAAGGGTCGTCAAAGAAATCGTCGTACAAATTAAGGACTGGAACTGAAGTCCAAAGATGCTTCCAACGCTTGCTCAGAACACTGGTTTGAACAGCTGTTGTTGCGTCCACAAAAGAGAGGATGCTATGGATAACTTCATCCGGCAAGTTGCTCAGCCTGTCCTCTTTCACTGTTCTCCTTTTCTTCTCCTTTTGGTTTTTGTTATTGTTGTTGTTCCTACGGTTGCTTTGTTCTTGTCTCTTAAACTTCAAAGTGTTTCCACCTTCAATCTCAAAGGAATTCTTCATCTTTTTACGAGAATATTTTCTCTTAAGCGTCGTCTTTCTTCTTCTTTCTCTTTCCCTTTCGAAATGATTTAAATAATTATTTTTTAAAATTTTTTATTTTTTTAATACGACTTATTTATTTTGTACATCATTCGTATATTTTATTTAACTAAACTTTATTTTATCTTACACGTGCCGTATATTTTGTACACACACTTGCATATCTAAATAAAATTTCTTTTATCTTACATGTCAAATAAATAAGTAATGACAGTGGATAAAATGTTAGACACTGACATTATCGAGCTTAGTATCAACATGTATTTAAGTCCAGTGTTGTTAGTAAGGAAGAAGGATGGGGTAGAGGTTTTGCGTTGACTATCGACCGCTTGAAATCGTTACTAGTTTGTTACTCTTTAGTAAAATTTCGGTTGCTTGCTCTGAATGCCTGGGTGAAAGGTAATACTGAGATGAATGGTTAATCCACTTTGGCTCGATCTATCGCTTGAGGAGGCATGCCTACGTCCTGCCTTTTTCTAATCTATGGTTTCCTATGACTTGAGTGAGACAGAGTTGAACTACTAAAGTTGCTGACTAGCCCTAACTTTCTTCCACTTCAACCAACCTTTGTCTATCACATCATATCTCACAGTTGTCAATCCTTGAAGAGATTCCCGCCTTTCTTGCCTGAACGCCATCACAAGGCCAAACAAGTTTCTTATTCCAGTCATAGAAGAATTGCTAGACGAGCTGGGCAAAGCTATAATCTTTACTAAGCTAGACTTAAAATCTGGGTACCACCAGATTAGGATGAAGGAAGATGACATTGAAAAGATAGCCTTACGGACGCATAAGAAGCATTATGAATTTTTGGTACTGTCCTTCGGGTTAACCAATGTCCCTTCGACGTTTCAATCTCTCATGAATCAAGTACTTCAACCCCACTTGAGGAGGTTTGCGTTAGTTTTTTTTATGACATACTAATATACAGCAAGACCAAGGAAAAGCATGTGAGGCAAGTGAGGAAGGTGCTGGAACTATTGAAACAGAACTAGCTGTATATCAACCAGAAAAAATATTGTGTTATGGTAGCCAAGTTGGAATACTTAGGGTATCTTATCTCTAAGGAGGGAGTAGAGGCCGATCCCAGGAAGATTGAAGCCATAATTAACTAGCCTGCACTATGGGACATGACAGGATTGAGGGAATTTTTGGACTTAACCGAATACTACAGAAGATTCGTGAAGAATTACGGGAAGTTAGCTTAGCTTCTCACAATGTTGTTGAAGAAGGATGAATTATGTTGTAAGAAAAAATAAATTTTATTTAGACAAGGCATACTAAATAATTTATTTTATAAAATAATTATAATATTATTAATAAAATGTATAAATAATTATAAACTTATAAATTAAATAATAAATTTTAAAAGTTTTATAACATTTTATATTAAAAAATAATAAATCATTAATAAGACAAACAACGACTAAATTAATGATATATTATTTATTCCTGTTATATTTTTATCAATTATTTAATGAAATTTTGATGAAATAATTTAATTTAAACAATTAAAAGTTTAGATATATTAAATATGAGTTATTAAAACTAAGAGAACAAAAAATTACTCATTAATGAAAATATGAGCACTAAAAGATATATTAGGATAAAAACATGTGTTTTAATATTTAAAATATGAATGCATTGTATAGCTAATAATAAAAATGAATGGAATGGAGGGCGTGTATACTGGGACATACTATAAAATACAGCCATTTTAATTATGAATTATTATTGATTTAATAAAGATTTCAAAGGACTAAACTTGCCTGTGCTAATGTTGTCAAGTGATTGGTTTAGGTAAATCGGTTGCTCCTCCTAAAAAGTTAGTTGCTCTTCCAAGAAAATTGGTTACTCCTCCCAAAAGTTCGATTGCTTCTCCCAAAAAGTTAGTTGTTCCTCTAGAAAAATCAGTTGCTCTTCCCAAAAATTTGGTTGCTCCTCCCAGTCCCAAGGTTAATTCCATGACATGAACAACGCATTTGCTGACTCATACAAATGTCATGAATAAAGCGAATACATGCATACACAAATAATGACACGTGTTTATCTATCATTTATATTTTGTGTAGGCAATTGATGAACAATTTACTACTTCTGATAAATCTCTTGCCAGCACCCTTATAATGTAATTTTTATCCATGAAGCTCACTGAGATTAGAGGAGTGCGTAATCACATCATGCGCATAAGGGATATAGTAGCTCAACTGAAAGCCTTGTAGGTTACCATGTCTGATTCCTTCTTATTGCATTATATTTTGTGCACCTTGGCTCATCAAAATGCCCTTTTGAAGATCTCTTATAACACACATAAGGATAAATGGTCTATTAATGAATTATTGACTATGTGTGCTTAAGAAGAGGAAAGATTACTAATGGAAGAAAGAGAGGGTGAACTTAACTACCTCTGCGAGGAGTAAAAAGAATCAAGTTAATCACAAAGAAAAATTAAGCAGTTAGTAAATGAAGGAATACTTAGTGCTTTAGACTTTATTAATTTTGAGACCTGTGTGAATTACATTAAGGGTAAGCAAACTAACAAGTCTAAAACTTGTGTCAAGAGAAGTTCAAACCTGTTAGAGATCATTCATATAAATTTTTGTTGTCCACACATGAACGCGAGTAGTCTAAGATATTTTATCACCTTCATAGATGATTACTTACGATATATGTATCTCCACTTGCTTCATTCTAAAGATGAAGCTTTGGATGCCTTTAAAGTTTTCAAGGCTGAAGTAGAGTTGCAATGTGGAAAGCAAATTAAGATTACGAGATTAGATAGAGGTGAAGAACACTATGGTATATATAGAAAGAATGGACAAGACCTGGTTCATTTGCGAAATTCCTTCAAGAACATGGGTTTGTTGCCTAATACACTATGCTTGGTTCTCCAGATCAAAATGGTGTAGCAAAAAGAAGGAATCGAACTTTAATGGATATAGTGAGAAGCATGAGGAGCAATGTAAGACTTCTTCAATTCTTGTAGACTGAAGCACTTAAGGCGGCTGTGTATATATTAAATAGAGTTCCAACTAAGGCTATCTCAAAGACACATTTTGAATTGTTCAAGGGTTAGAAACCTAGTTTGTGACATATACACATTTAGGATGTCCGTTTGAAGCAATAATTTATAACCAACAGGAAAAGAAACTTGACCCTAGGATTGTTAGTGGATATTTCATTGTATATGCTAAAAAGTTTAAAGGGTATAGGTTCTATTGTTCATCTTATACCACTAGAGTTGTGGAATCAAGAAATGCAAAGTTTTTTTGAAAATGATTTAATTAGTAGGAGTGACCTAATTCAAGACACTGTTCTTGAAACAAATCATTATAAAGTTAAACCCTCAGAGTCAAATGATAGATTGATAATCATTCACGCTTCTCCAGTTCAAGAGCGTATCAGACAACCAGTTATGTAAATTTCACAAGTTGTTGAAGATGATTTTGTAGATCGAGTTGTTGATGAGGAGTAACAAGTAAATGCTGATAAACATGTTAAGCAACTAGTTGAACAACAAGTTTCTCATTAACACAATGAGGTAACATTAGAAAGATCTACTAGAGTCAGAAAGTCGGCAATTTTTAGTCACTATGTAGTGTATATACAAGAATCAAATTCTAATATAGGAGCAAAAAATGATCATGAAACGATTTTACAAGCCATGAGTTCTAAAGAATCAAATCTATGACATTTAACAAAGTCTAGAATCTTGTTGAGTTGTCTGATGGTATAAAAGTCATTAGATGTAGGTGAGTTTTTAAAACAAAGAAAGACACACAAGGCAACATTGAGAGACATAAGGCAAGGCTTGTTATCAAAGGGTTCACTCAAAGAGAATGAATCGATTACAAGGAGACTTTTTCTCCCGTGTCTAAAAGGGATTCTTTTCGAGTAATTATGATTTTGGTAGCTCATTTTGACCTTGAGTTACATTAAATGGATGTGAAGACAACATTTCTCAATGGTGATCTAGAAGAAGAGGTTTATATAAAACAACCTGAAGGATTCTTCTTTAGTAACGGTGAACATCTGGTCTGCTAATAAGTCTATATATACATTAAAACAAGCTTCCCACCAATGGTATCTAAAATTTCATGAAGTCATATCTTCATTCGGTTTTGAAGAAAATATCATGGATCAATGTATTATCTTAAGGTTAGTGGGAGTAAGATTTGGTTTCTTGTTTTATAGGTGGATGATATTTTGCTTGCAGCTAATGATAAGAGTATGCTATATGAATTGAAACAATTTTTCTCAAAGAACTTTGATATAAAAGATATGGGTGAGGCATCTTATGTCATAAGCATTAAGATCCATAGAGAAAGATCTCGAGATATTTTGGATTTGTCTAAAGAAACCTATATCAACAAGATTTTAAAGAGGTTTAACATGAAAGATTGTTCACCAAGTGTAGCTCCTTTAACTAATGGTGATAAACTTGAATTGAGTCAACGCACGAAGAATGACATTGAGCGGGAACATATGAAAAATATTCTGTATGCTTCAACTGTTGGAAGTCTTATGTATGCTCAAGTTTGCACAAGACTTGATATTGCATTTGCAATTGGAGTTTTAGGAAGATATCAGAATAATCCAGGTGTTAACCATTTGAAAGCTAAAAAGAAAGTAATAAGATATCTTCAAGGACCAAAGAATTATATGTTTATGTACATACGGATTGATGACTTTGAAGTAATAGGCTACTCTGATTCAGACTTTGTTGGCTACATTGATACCAGAAAATTTACATCTAGTTACATTTTTATCTTAACTTGTGGAGCTATGTCTTGGAGCAGCGTGAAGTAGACCTTGACTGCTACTTCCACTATGGAGGCTGAGTTCGTTTCTTGTTTTGAGGCTACCTCATATGGTGAATGGTTGAAGACTTTTATATATGCGCTTAGAGTTATGGACTATATTTCTAGGCCATTGAGGGTGTACTGTGACAACTTTGTTGC